TTCCATGATAGAAAATAGGGTGAGGTGTCCTTACTTGATTTGACGCCGAAAACTAGATTGTCACTAGGCCTACGGGCGGTCACTAGGTTCCCTGAATTTTTTCTTGGGAACTAAAACGCGCTTATGGTACCTACACATGTCCCAAATAACCAAAAAATCAGACCCAAGACCTACTCGATAAATTTTAGAATTCCAACACGGCGGCTCTGCCGTGCTACTGCGAGCGGTGGCGAACCGCCTCAGGTTGGCTATTTTCGGCCAAATTCAGCCAAACTTTGCATCGGTTCCTGTGAGAAAACACACTTAGGGCCATCGGTGGGCTGAAAAAACGTAAAAAACTGAAACTCACCAGCGGTGGGGCTCTCCGGTACGGCGGCTCCTCCGGCTCACGTGTCGGTTGGGTGTTCGGTCAACCTGTAGAGGAGGAAATGGTGATCACAACAGTGAAAAAATCACATCGAACGAGAATCGAAAGGGCCTCATCGGAAGCAAAAATTGAAACACCCCGCGGCAGCGCCGTTGAACTTCAGCGGCATTTTCCAGCCAATTGGCCGGTGCTTTCGATCCGATTTGGCCATAGATGGGTTTAGAATCAAATTCTGAGCAAAGGGTAGAATTTTTATCTCGTTTGGCGGCTGAAAATTGCTCCGATATGGTGGCGGTGGTCGGCTCCCTGGTGGCTAGAGTTAGGGTTTGGGTGTGGATGGGGTTGTTTATTACCATCCGCTTTTGATATGAGCCATCCATCGCTTTTAATCTTGATCGTCCGATCGCGATTAAATAGAAAATGAATCTGAGCCGTTCATCGCGATTCAATCTAGGCCGTTCGTGCGCGCGGGAATGAATCTCAATCGTTCGATTGCACGCACGTGGATCGGCCACGTGGCTCCCTCCCGCGTGGCCTCCCGCGTTAGCATCTCTGTCACCTGGCGCGTCCTGGTTGGCCGGGGCAGCTGACGTGACACAACTTTTCTTAATTACGTTTTGACCTCCGGTTTCTGATTTTTCTTTCAAAAATACCTCCAGAATCCAAGTTCTCACTCTTTTTTCTCAAAATTGTTTTCAATTAAATCTCTAAATAATTTTTACCCTTATTATTATTATTATTTCCATTAAAATAAAATAAAATAAAATAAATTCAATTTAAAATTACGTAAATAATAATTATATTCATACAATAATAATTAATAAAATTAAAAAAGGAAAGGTTGGGTGTTACACGGGGATCGCCAGTAGGCGCAGTCAACAAGTTTAGCTTTTCGGGCATCAATTTGAGTAAGAATCCCTCACCTTATTCTTTGTTATGGAATTGAAGTCTAATTAATAATAATACGGTATTTTGTGCAATTTAAAAAATATCTATAATTATGAGTTACTGATGGAGCGAGAACCGTAAATTATTCTCTATTGATTTCTGTTGATTTATTTTACAGCTTGAATGCATGATTGATCGATTTTATGGTTTTAAATACATGTATTGTTGCCTTATGTGACTACTGTTAAATTGAAAAACTAGGACGTGATTGCATTCCTTGATGCATGTTTTGTTTGTTTTATGTGATTACGGTTGAGTTAGGAAACTGGAGATTAAAGATAAACGAGAAATTGTGTGATTAAATGAATGAACGAAACAATAGCCTTGCTGGATATCCTGGGAATTGGTGGACGGACTGGGTACATAGGGAACCCTATTGTGAACGTCGTCTCATACCGGACGGAGTATTTAGGGATGATATTATTTAACGTTCATACCAGATGAATTATAGGGACGACCCGTTTTACCCTCGTACCGGACGGAGTATCGAAGTTTAGTAATTTGTCACTTATACCGGAAGGAGTATGAGGATGGCTTAATTGAAAATGTTAAAGGAAAGGATTCCCTCGTTGTGAGGACATCCCTATGAACCCACATGGATACCAGTATGCTGATAAAAGAAAAAATTGTTGTTCAAATCGATTGCATATGAAATTATAAAATGTGCTATATCATTGCTTCTATAGATTGTTTTCATAAATCTCATTACGGTAAGTAAACGGTAAATGATTTTATTTATGATAAACGACTTTACTAATTAAAACTTTACTAGTTGTTTTTATTATTTTACCACCTTCATTTCTGTGTCAGTGAGTAGTGTGATATTCTTACTGA